CTTATGGCCCGGGAGTAAATTCTGCATAAAATACATGCAAATAAAAGTAAAAACAGAATAAAAAAAAGTTTTAAAGAAGAACTACAAGGGGCAGTCCAGCCACAACATTGGCTGCAGTGGGTAAAATGTCCTTGGAGAGTCACTTGAAGTGGGACAAGCCCAGGTGAGTGCCCTCAGGCATTCTTAGTCAATAGCATCAGTACAGATAGGTTGAGACCTACACAAAGCATGCATTTTATCCCTAAAGCCACTCAACAGTGAACTCACAGTAAAGGTATTCAACAAACCTTCAACATTCACAGACATGTGGTATTATCTGAGCATTGGGATAGCCTCCAAGAACTTGACTCAAAAAGATTCATGCTTCTACCTCCCTCATCTACTATTGGCTCGCCTGCATTATAAGGTGATTTAATCACATAATGAAGCTATGTCGAGGAAGGGATCATTGCCTCTTTGTTAGAGTAGGCTTTTAGTGAGGCTTTTTCAGGATGCCTGGAGGCCAGCAAAGGGGGAGTTCTGGCCTGCTATCAGGAAAGTCAGAGGACTGTGCAGGCAGCACCCTAAAAGCAAAGCCACCAGAAGCTGGACCAAACCAGGCAGGTCCAAGACAAAGGCGGCCAGAAATCCTGACCCAGTAAGGGAGAAAAGGCATAAACCCCACTTTCAACAAAAAAAATCCCCTTCCCAAGTAATAAATATTCTACCCCCTAGTTGACAGCTGTCAAGAAAAGACAGAAAAACCAAACCAGGGATGTATAGCTCTCCCTTGAGTGTACCTGTCCCACATCTCCAGAGTATACACTCACTTTAATAAACCCTTTGCCTGCATCATCCAACTGTTTTGTCTAGTCTATCCTTAAATTCTTTCTTGCCACAGACCAAGAGCCTCCAGCAGAATCCAGAAGAATGGCTGGGTGGAAGCCTAAGTGTTGCCCAGCAACATCTTAACTACTTCTTCCTAGATAACGTAAGGATACAAGGGATGGGAGCTTAAATAGCACTATTTGTAAACTTCTGGATTCTGATGTGACCGTTCCTAGGCGTGATTCATCTTTCATTCCCCTGATATACCACCATGGCAGTGCTTCCTCTCAGTGGCAGCCTGACTAGAAGGTGGCTTAGAGAATTTAAACCTAATTTTTACTGAATGTTATAAAAGTGCCCTAGGGCCACTTCTACCAGCCCCTTCCAGAGGGAAGGTCTGGGTCTGGGTAGAAGATTTTACAAAGATTTTAGGGGCACCTGGATGGCTCAGGCACTGAGCATGTCCCTCTTGATGTCAGGCTCCCAAGTTTAAGGCCCATGTGAGGCATGGAGCCTACCTGGTTAAAAAATTAAAAACAAAACGTTTTTTTTTTAATTAGGGATTTTTTTTCCTACAGGGAAGACAAAAACCAATTTTGTCATAGCAAAAAGAGAACAGCAACCCTGGAACTTTAGGAGGAAATACTTTTGTCCCAGGGAGGTATGGAGGAAAGAGGGATGTTAACAATCTTTATCTTTCAGAACTTCCGTTTGAACCTTCCTCATGAAGGACATTGCCCCTAATGTAGCTCTCCTAAACTCTTGTAGGCAGCATGTAAAATTTAACTAACTACTGAGTCTGCCATCCCACAGCAGGCAGCTCTGGCCATGATCTGACTACTTTATTTAGCCTTATGGAGAAGTCCACTGGAAAAAAAAAAACAAAAACCAGGAGTGGTCCCAGTTCCCACACCATGCAAAACACCAGACAACACCTTCAGATGCCTCCCTCATCCCTGTGCTATAGCTGTCACTCATTCTTGAAGGTGGGCAGATATCACCTCACTGGTGAGATAGACGAGACAAATCAAAGAACTCTATTTAGTCCCTGAAACACAAGGAAAATATTAAAGTGTTTGAACTCAACTGGGAAACATAAGGCTTCCCAGCTAACTAGAAAATCAACCTATACTCTGATTTAAATGCCGTGTGAAAGGGCCTCAAAATGGTAAACAACATTTTTTGGGCATTATATGTACCTTGGAGGTGTAATTTTTGTGTATAACAGGAATAAACTGGCCTCCCTCCCCAAAACACTTTGATCTTAGGGATGATCATAGAGGTCTCCATGTGTTTAAGGAAACACAACTAGTAAACCATGTAGTCCACAAATGACTGCAGAGTTCTCTCCAAAATGAGGATACTCTCATTCATTTGGGGAAGATTTCCAGAAGCATAATTGACTTATCATTCCTGCACATGTTAATGGCAGCTTCCATGCAATGCTGATAATTTGTTCCAGCTCTTAGTTAGCCTGATCAATGACACCACCTAAGCGCCGGAAGACAAGAAAATCCACCAGCTGGATATGTTCCATGGGAGGGCCCAGAAGGCATCTCTTCACTCAACTGATAAAGAATGATTAGTGAAAGGTGACCCGGGCACCTCTGAGCAGCTCGGTAGCGGCTATCTTCTGGTAGACCTGGGCGGATGCTGCCATGGACCTGGATTCCTAGTCTCCCTAAATGAGACAGGATTCCAGAGTGGCAGGGACCACATGGAAGAATTTAACCATCAAAAGAAAAGCGTTTGTAATTAATATATCAGGAATCGAATTGGAATGTCAACCCAGTAAACTTTCAGACACAGGGGTCTATAATGATGTCTAATAACATATGAAATTCCTATGAGAGAGATAGATGGAAAGCAATCAGGGCACAGCTATATTTATGTGATCAAAAATCTGTAAAGAATGATACTAGCAGCCACAATGGAAAATGATGAGCTCTTACCTGCTCCTTCCTCAAATGATCCTCAGATCTTGGAGAAAGGGAAATATTCAGATCTTACCAGCGTTGTCAGATACCTGGTGTGAACTGCCATTAATAACAAGGGAGATGAACGTTATGGGGATCGTCCATGAGTGTGGGGGCATGTGGAGGCAAGATAGCAAACAGATTGCTGGCACAAGTCCTTCTCATAACCTATGCCATGCCTGTTGTCATTCTCTCAGTCCTTCACTGAAAAATGGACAGATGCACTTAGCAGCTGGCAGAATGCTTTCACTGGTGGGGTGATAGAGGGAATAAGGGTCACTATAGCAGCAAAGGCCAAGAGAAAGCCCTTCAGATAGCCTCCTCCACCAACATAGGAGCAATATGCAGCTAAGGCAATAGCAGAGATCACGCTACTCACTAGTTATGGCAGTTGCTTGTTCTGTGACTCCCTCAGGTCATCCTTCAGAGGAGTAGTCCACTACCAGGAGCATGGATGAGTGGCAGTCTCCGCTTATCTTACCTTAGCAGCTATGAGAAATTAACCCCAGGCCACATTTGCCCTGGGAAGCTCTAGCCAAAGTTTGAGTGTGGTGGCACTGAGCAGGGCCACTGCTGCCCAACATAGGAGGCTGTCAAGGGTCACTCTGGCTCAAGGGCTCCCCATGGGGAGCCTGGATGAACCTGATTCACACCAACTCTGATGCCTGAGGCTCTTCCAATGTGATTCATGCTTTTTCTCCCTCCTTCCACAGAAGAAGTATTACAGCCTAAAGCCTCTCTGGGTCTACTCTTACTCCACGTCCTTTGTCCTTAGAGACGTTTCCTTCAATAGCCCTCCTGAAGGTCAAGACATCTGTCTTGACATCTGCTTCTCCAAAGACAGTGGTGCTGACTGTGATCTGACAAAATAGCGAGATGGGCTTGGGGACATGCTCAGTCAACACTCTAACACTCTTGGCAAGGAGGACTCTATCCTGAGAGGAGTGTAAAGAAACAAAGATAATTCCTAGGACGAGGTGGCAGGTAGCCCGATGCTGAGGAATTTACCAATGGTGGCCCAGGAAACGGTCCTGATGGAGGGCAACCCTCCCTCCTGTGCAACGATTTAGGCATTTGGACCATATGGGAGCCACAGTGTCTCCCAGGATGGCCGAGTTGGCAGGTTTTGACTAAGTTGTGTTGCTACCTTAGAAAAGGTCATGAGAATGAGAGGAACTATCCTAGTTCACAAAACGTTGAAGGCCATGTGTGAATGCCAGAAGGCTGTTTGGGTTGCTTACCAAAGGGCCCTTCTCTCCTGGCGTGGAAGGGGAGTCATAGCTGAGGAGCAATCTCAGGATCAGGTAAGGTTCCAACAGCTCCAGGGACTTTTCCATGGTCATCCAGAGCAAGCGTGTGATGCTGGGGAAACTCAGGAGCTTGAAACATGACGTGGTGACATCTGGGTGGATAGCCCTGAAAAGATGGGCTCAGCACAACCATATGAGTGCCCGGAGCTTGTCCCGCCACAGGAGACTGTCCCCGCTTCTCATCCTGGATGCCCCCGCTTCCACATGGGCTGCTGTGCCACACCGAGCATAACCCAGCTGGACAAGCCACGCTATGAGAGGAATGAGACTCCACCGAAGCAGCTGCAAGAATCACCCTGGCAAGGACACCATCCCAGGGGTTGGGGCTCACACGCGCTTCTACGGGGACTCTCAGAAGCAGGGAGAGAGCCACCACCCATCCTGAGCAAAGTGGAAATGCTTAGTCTTCCATGCAAGTAGGCAGAACAAGGCTGAGAGAAGTAGGCATGCTACACTGCATATATCACGGGAGGCCAGAGGACCCAGTGGAATGCACTGGGAAAGACACAGACACCAGATCGGTGGTTGCCAGAGGAAGGGGTGGAGGGCACAGCAAAATGGGAGAAGGAGGTCAAAGGTACAATTTTCCAGTCATACAGTAAATAAGCCCCGGGGGAGTAGCGTATAGCATGATGACTATAGTAAATAAACTGTATCGTAGATTTGAAAGTGGCTAAGAGAGTAGATCTTAAAAGTTCCCATCACAAGGAAAAACTTTTGTGTAACTATGTACGGTGACAGATGCTCTCTGGACTTAACTGTGGTGAGCGTTTTGCCATCTACACCGATATTGAGCTGCCACACTGTACACTTGAAACTGATATCATGCTTCATGTCGATTAGATCCCAGTTAAAGGAAGAGACACGAACTGTGCAGGTGGGAGGAGAAGCATCACCTCTCAGGAGTTCAGCCGTGCCTCTCTTCCACGGCCCAGTTTGATGACAAGACAGATTGGGCCAGATCAGTGTTTGGTAACAGCTCTAGCGGTAATGAGGTCCCTGGAAGTAACAGAGGCCAGGTAGTTGCTCTTCACAGGCCGAAGCTAGGGAGCCACAATTACCCTAAAGTCTGTCAAGGTTGGAGAGGCAGCTAAGGGGAGTTACCTCTAGGGACTTTGGAGGAGGTAGGAAGCACAGCATCTCTGGTGGCAAACATGAGGAGTCACCAAAGAGGGTGCTGCCTAACCTCTGCGATGGGAAGAAGGTAAAATTGGCGGAGCAGGAGGCTGAGAATCGTTGCCCCAGTAAAAAGTCATGATCCTTGTACAGTTCCTGGAACAAAGCTGATTTTCAGTGGGAGTAGCTGTTGATTGAGGAGATTGCGGGGTTCCCAGGAGGAAGGACCTATCAATATCATGACACATAGATAATGTAATGACCCTCCCAGTCCTTCCCCCACAAACCCTGTAGCCATTTTCCTGAGAGTCTGGCTCCTCATGTGATGGTGTTAGAATAAAGACACAATGCCGATCTCATTATACTGGAATACCTCAGGTTTAGCATAGCCCAAGAGTAATCATGAGAATAATGGGAATAAATGCACGTATTAAGTGCTTAACATGTTCCAGCCCCTTCTTAGGTGCTTTCTTTTGATCATTATAAAACGCTAGCAAAGTGCATTTCATCTCCCAATGGAACGTGGACCTTGAAACTGTCACAGCCTAAGACTGTCCATGAGCACATATTTTGCAGGTGGTAGATCTGTCGACACTCATGTGCCCTGACAGAAAACGTCTCATCTTCCCACCATATCTCCCACTTGTTTCTTGAAATGCTATTTGTTTGGGGTGACTGTGTGGCTCAATTGGTTCAGCATCTGTCTTCATCTCAGGTCATGATCTCACAGTTCATGGTTTTGAGCCCTGCGTTGGGCTCTGTGCTGACAATTGAGATCTGTGTCTCCCTCTCTCTCTGCTCCTCCCCCCCTCAAATAATGAAACTTTAAAAATATTTAAAAATAAATAAATAAATGCTATTGGTTTAACAGTAGCGATAAAATGAACAAATAGCAATAGTCTAGAATATAATCAATTGGGGAACAGTCCAATAACTTGTTAAAAACCAGTGCATAACAGAGCAAACAAGATTTGCTACACTGGCATCTATAAAATGTTAGAATCATCATATTAAAAGTGTACTGGTCCTCTTGTTAATGAATCTACTATCATCTCTAAGAATAGTAAGAATATGACTAGACAGGAAATGTTAAATAAATTTAAACACACAGAACTTTTTTTGAATTGCCAAGTCATTTTATTTTCGGATGACAGTTTCAGAATAGCTATAAGATAATGTAATTATGGATTATCGATCATTTCTCATTGCATAGCATTGTCTTATTCTTCATTTGGTACATTTCAGTTACTGCTTGTGCTTGGGGAGTTTTGACTGTCTTCTTTTGGTATTTCTTTTAAGTGAGTAAAGGCACCAATGATGATTGAAGTCAGAAAAAGAATTGAGCGAATCATTAGAAGAAATATTGCCTTGTTTACATTAACAAGTATTTTGGCTGTAATACCTACTTCTCTGTCAGGTGGGGGACCACTATCTATACTACCACCTGATCCTTTCTCCTCACACGATGGTGGTTTCCAACCTTTCATACAGTGACAGTGTTTCTTGTTGTTACACACCCCTCTGAAATTGCAAGTCCTGACATCACAGTCAAAACCCATGTCTTCATAAAAAGTACAATTTTGTTTCAAACAGTATCTTCCTGGGCCACATGTTGCACCATCCACCACAAGCCCCATTTCTGGCACATCTGTCCCATGGTGTGCATCGTATCCAAAGCATGTTTCTTGTTTACCACCTGGTATTATTATATGACGAAATGTAGTGTGCTCACCTCCACCAGGTATTTCATGGACATTACTACAGTGCAGCATTCCACAAAGAACATCATCTTCTTCACATTTAGCAGGTTTTCCTCCTCCTTGTAACACCCTCACTCCACAGTTTCCAAATCGGTCACCTAGTATATTCAGTTTTTCATAGCATGTTGGTGAAGCATCTTTAATTTGGTAGCCAAAAAGGGCTTGACACTGCATATCACGGTCACTACAGTTTCCTCTCACACAAACAGCTAATGCTGAACATGGGGTTCCATCCTGGGTGTACATGTCATTTGGACAATTATGCGTTTTCCCATCACAGTATTCTGGTAGATCACAAATACCAAGTATGTCTCTGCAAATCTTTCCAGGTTGAGCAAATTTGCAGTTAACACAGCAGGGCCCTTCACTGCAGTCACTGCCTCGGGAAAGGATACAATTGGTCTTACAACACTTATTCTTAGAACACTGTTTTAAGGAGCCGCAATCACAATTTTCATTCCGATCTACAATTAGGTCACCACAACGAGCAGCTACATAAGGAAAATTTTGGTATGGTTGATTTGGTATGCTCAGACAAGGGTCCCAAATAGAAATCCGGTGGTGCAGTGCCTCATAAGAACAGTTGCTCATCATATCCAATAAGTCAGGCTCAGGAGCCATGACACAACGTTCTCTTCGGAAGCAATGACAACCGGGTACATCATGTGTGAGGCCTAAATTATGACCTACTGCATGTGCTGAAATAGCTGCAGCTAAAAATAAGTGATAATTTGCTACATATACATAGCTTGCTCCCCAATTGGGGTTGCATATTCCATTTTGGTGGCCATAATATAAGGCCCCAGAGAGTCTATGTCCTGTAAGAAGTATTGATGTATCATGAGGAATATCGTCAAAGAAACCGTAGTATTTCCACAAACCAAATTCAGTTATAGCTGCTGCAGCTGTTGGGAAACTATAAAAATTAATCGGATCCATTCCATCCCATATACACAAAAGACGGACATTGACATCTAGGAGAGTTGGTTTATAAATGGTATGTAATATATTGTTCAAAATCACTACATTCTCTGTTATACGAGTGTAATTACTGTTCCGTGCAGTTAATGAGCTAGAAACTGTGTAGTGAATTTTTAAATATTTCTTATGTGGCCACCACAAATAAACGGGGGCTGCTCTAGGAGCTCCAGAAAGGATTGCCTCTTCATACACCTGATTTGTATATTGCTCTTCAATCTTACACCTTCGAGACTCTGACGGTCTTCCTTCTGACACAAGCAAAGAGACTACATGCTCGAATCTGGAAGAAGCCTCCAGCGGTTTTATTTCATAAGTGAAGTCATCTACCTGCAGCATGCCACGCAGGCCCCCGTAGCAGGTGTCCAGCGTGCCCATGGACCCAGGAACCCCTTCCAGGTAGCTGTAGTAGTAACAGTCTCGAGGGACAAATGGATAGTCCTTCTGCATGGCACCTTGATCGTTGTTGGTGATGACAGGAAAATGTGTGGGCAGCAAGCTCTTCTTGACTTTCATGTGAACCACATGTCTTTGGCCTCTGAAGTGGATCTTATAGGAAAGCTGGCCTTGCCTCTCAGCTCCACTCACCCTGTGAGACACCTTCCTGGGGATCACAACTTCAGAGGAAGTGAAGCGCCATCCTGGGAGGTCACGGGAGCAACAGACCGGGGACACGAGTAGCCAGAGCAGAGGCAGCCAGAGATCACCTGTCAAGTGGGCCTGGGCCCAGGCAGGCCCCATGAGTGAGTGAGCCTGTGGCCACAGAGGATGCAGTCAGGTGGGAGGCAGGCAAGATGATTGCTGAAACGGCAGCTTTCCTAGCAGTGGAGTCCTGAGGGGATCAGAGAGAGACTGGGGGCTTGGCACAGGCCAGAGAGGTGGAGGAGGGAGGGGAACCTATTACATAATAATGGTGTGCTCATTAAGGGGGGGCTGTGCTCAGTGAGCTGACTGTCTTAGCACAGAGGACCTAGAGGAGTGGGAAAATGGGAGGAATTGGGAACCACAGTGTGTATATCTGGGCTGAAAGTTCCCATGGTCTCTTGGAGAAGTCACAGGGGAAGAATAAGGGCATTTGCATTTGGTGGAATGTTAAGTGAGTGAAGGACTTTTCTTTCTCAAACCTAAATGGCATAAGGGATCAACATGTCATTAAAACAGAGGATGGAGGCTCAGTTGGTTAAGTGTCTGACTTTGGCTCAGGCCATGATCTTGAGGTTCGTGAGTGTGAGCCCCGCATCAAGCTATCTGCTGTCAGCACAGAGTCTGCTTGGATTGTCTGTCACCCTCTCCTTCTGTCCCTCCCCTGCTTGCCCTCTATCTCTCAGAAATAAATAAACATTTTAAAAAATTAAAGAAAAGGAAACAGTGGATGAACTGGAGAGTGGAAGCTTCTTAAAAGATTTTTGAGGGGAGAATTAGATTCTCTCATACTTCATAACAATTGAATCCACTTGGGGGTGACTGATGGCAAGAAAGAGTAAATAGAGGTCACCAGTAGAAAAATTAGTGTGTATGATAATAGTTTCTTATAAAATTAAACTTCTATCCACCCAGTGTCCCAGAAATTCTGTTCCTAGGAAATTCCCCATAGACTTTATGTGAATGTTCAGAGCAGTGCTATTCATGAAATTTATTCAACAAACTGTAAATAAGCAGCCAGCCCTTAATAGCTAAATGAATGAAGAAACTGGCTTATTCATTTAGTGGAATAATCCCTCATAAATCAGAACTCACTTTTGATCCATGTAAGAACATGGGTTTATCTCACAGGTATTATGATGACAGAAAGAATCAAACCAAAGGAACTTAATATGTGATTTAATTTGATGAATTGTAGAATTGTCCAGAATAGGCCATAGTTCATGGGAGTAGAATTTAGATGAGTACTTTCCTGATGTGTCAATGGAGGAATGGAGGGAATTTTATGGAGTGATAGGAAACTTCTATATCTTCATTGAAGTGTGCTATAGATTGAATTTTGTAGATGTGCAAAATTCATAGGTTGAAATCCTGAGCCCCAACGTGATGGTATTAAGGAGGTGGGGCCTTTGGAAGGTGATTAGGTCATGATGGTGGAGCCCTCATGAATGGGATTAGTGTCTTTATATCAGAGACGCCTGAGAGCTCTCTCATCCCTTCTGCTGTGTGGCTTCACAGCCAAGATATGCCATCTATGAAGCAAGAAGCCATTCTCACCAGACAAGAGACGTGTGGTTGACTTGATCTTGGACTTCGTATCTCCACAAGTGTGAAAAATAAAGGTCTCTTGTTTATAAGACACATCGTCTATGGTATTTTGTTATAGTGGCCTTAACAGAATATGACATAAAATTGGTACCAGGAATGGCATGTTGCTGTCATAAATACTATAAATTGTGAGCATGTCTCTGAAAGTACATAGTGGTAGAGGTTGAAAGAGTTTTGAGGTGCAAACCAGAAAGCCTACAGAACTGGGAACAGATTGTTAAGGGTGATTTCAGGAAGAGCCTAGCAAGAAAAGAGAAGAGCTGCAGAGAAAGCTTTAGTCTTAGAAAATACATAAGTACTCCTGAACAAAGTTTAGCAGGAATCTGGACAATAAAGGCCGTCCTCATGAGGTCTGAGACAGAAGTGAGGAGTATGTTAGTAGACTCTAGAAGAAAGGCTGTCCCTGTTACAAGGTAGCAAAGAATTTGGCTGGATTGGGTTTGTGTCCTAGTGTTTTCCACAAGCTAAACCTTGTGGTAACTGCATATCTACTGGATGCAGTAGAAGCAGAATCGACCTGGATGAACCAGACCAGTGCTGCCACTAGTTCAAAGGCACCCAGAGGTCTTGCATTTCCTGAGTTAATTCTTGGGCTATTCTTTTTTTTCCTTCCTTTTCTCCTTCTTATCTCCTCCTTCTTCTAGTCTGGTTATTCTGGTTGTTGGTTTGCTTTATTCTCTTTATACCTGTTCTATATCAACTTCTTTATTTTACTCTCTCTCTCTCTCTCTCTCTCTCTGGATTAAGCCATATAGTTTCTCTGCCTGGTCAATTTTCTTTTCTTTTCTTTGCCCCCGCCCCTGTAGGTTCTCTCTTTGTATGGGATAAGGCCTTTTCCATCAAGAACACCCCTACCCTGTTGTTTTGCTGTAGCTGGTGGGGTTTTTTTTTCTGTTTGTTTGTTATCTTTTCCAGGGCTTCTTCAATGAACAAATCAAAGCACACATGGTGGAGTGTCTAAAACATCATTATGAGTAGGGAGATAAAGTAACTAAAGTCACAACAACAGAGAGCAAGTAACACTATCCAAAACACACCTCCTGAAGGGCCAGGCCTTGGACAGTATATGACCTTCTTTAATATAGTTGTGCTCACAGGTGCAGGACACATAACAAGCTTTTAAAACATATAAGGGACAGAAAACTAGCCAAAGTGATGACATGGAAGAATTCTCCTTAAAAGAAATTCCAGGAAGAAATGACAGCTACAGAATTGATCAAAACAGAATAAACAACATAAGTGAATAAGAATTTAGAATAATAGTCATAAGAGTAATCACTGGGCTTGAAAAAAGCATAGAAGACAGCAGAGAATCTATTGCTGCAGAGATCAAGGAACTAAACAATAGTCATGATGAATTTTAAAATGCTGTAAATTAGGTGCAAAATAAACTAGTTGTTGACAGCAAGGATGGAAGAGGCAGAGGGGAGAATAAGTGAAACAGAAGATAAAATTACGGAAAAAGATGAAGCTGAGAGAAAGAGAGACAAAAAAATTCTGACCACAAGGAGACACTTAGAAAACTAAGTGATTCAATGAAACATAATAATATCCGTATCATAGGAGTTCCAGAAGAAAAGAGAGAAAGGGGCAGAGGTGTATTTGAATAAATCATAGTTGAGAACTTCCCCAATGTGGGGAAGAAACAGACATTGAAATCCAGGAGGCACAGAGAACTCCCTTTAGATGTAACTTGAATTGATCTTCATATCATAGTGAAACTGGCAAAATGCAAAGATAAAGAGAGAATTCTGAAAACAGCTAAGAACAAACAGGCCTTAACCTACAAGAGTAGACACATAAGGGTAGTAGCAGACCTATCTACTGAAACTTGGCAGACCAGAAGGCAGTGGCAGGAAATTTTTAATGTGTTGAAGAGGAAAAATATGCAGCTAAGAATCCTTTATCCAGCAAGCCTGTCATTCAGAATAGAAGGAGAGATAAAGGTTTTCCCAGACAAACAAAAACTGAAGGAGTCCATCACTAAATGTCAGAGGCTGGCCCCGGCAGGGTCCAGGGGTCCCTGAAGGATGGACATTGTCAACGAGGGAGGGATGAGAGAGGCCCGAGAGTCTTTCTAGTCACCAGGCAGGCCTCTCTGCTCTGACTGGGGCTCAACTTTATTTTATAATTAAGTGTTTGGGGAGACAGCACAGAAGTGGCATTTGCTTTAGACAATGATTTCTGATAACATACTTCTTTGATATGTAAGAATTTCCCAGAACATAGATTTGTAGAAGACTTCTGCATAACCTTTATCAATAGTGATTGAGGTAGGGGATTTAGATGCTTATCCTATGGGGAAGGTATCTTTAGCATCCAAGACAAAGTTTTTAGCATAAAAAGGGTGAAGTCACTTCTTTGTGAGCAGGGGTCAATAGCTTGTTTAAGGAGTGTTAAGAGAAACAGGTCTTTCAGGAAACACCTTTGCTCCCATAATCACAAAAGAAGAAGTTCCTCAACAGGTTCCTTCACAGGCTGCAATCAGCATATTCAAGGCCAGAATAAGTCACTGCCTTGAGGGGCCAGTGCTCCAAGCAGAAACAATTGGATGGGGGTGGATATCTGTCCTTAACTCTAAATTAGGCTCTTTGTCTCAGGGCCAGACTCAACTGTAACTCTTGTGTTCTTAGCCCCCTGTATTATGTAAGTCTTGGATCTGCAAGGCCCGTAGGAAGAGCCTTTTGACAATCATCCACAATGCTTTCATCTGAAGTCTCTTTTGAAATGGCAGGAATATGCTTTTCCTTATGAGCAATCTGTGTGGGGAATATCGATCTGATCTGGTGATACTGTGAGATCTGGTCAATACCAGTAGCCTCATTTCCAACATGAGCCAGTAGTAGCAGAAGGAGATACCAGTTTTTGTTTCTCATGGCAGGAGCTGTGCAAACGCTGCCATTTCATTGCTCTGTCATCCAGTGAGGGCAGTGCGGCCCCCAGCAACTAAACCAGCCTTACAAGAGATCCTAAGGGAGACTCTATGAGTGGAATGTTGCAAAGATTACAAAGGGCCAGAGACCTCACTAGAAGCATGAAACCTACAGATAACACAATAACTCTAAATCCATATCTTTCAATAATAACATGAATTTAAGTGGATTAAATGCTCCAATCAAAGACAGGGTATCAGAATGAATTAAAAAAAAAAAAAGGACCCATCTATTTGCTGTCTTTAAGAGACCCATTTTAGATCTGAGAATACCTTCAGATTGAAAGTGAGGGGATGGAGAACCATCTATCATGCTATTGTAAGTAAAAAAAAACAACAACAAAAAACTGCAGTAGCCATACTTATATCAGACAAACTAGATTTTAAACCAAAGGCTGTAACACGAGATGAAGAAGGGCATCATATCATAATTATCATCAAGAAGAGCTAACAATTATAAATGTTTATGCACCCAGGGCACCTGGATGAATCAGTTTGTTAAACGGCCAACTTTGGTTCAGGTCATGATCTCACAGTTTGTGAGTTTGAGCCCTGCATCGGCTCTGCGCTGACAGTTCAGAGCCTGGAGCCTGCTTTGTCTGTGTTTCCTTTTCTCTCTGTCCCTCCACCCACTCAC